TGCTGAAAACCTACATGTAGCAAGGCAGTATAAGTTGCATATACAGTGTACTCCCCCCCCCCCCCCCCCCGGCTTAGGGAAGCTTCGAACCTAAGCTTAGCATGAGTTCTCCCTAAGTGTCTGGACCTCTTCAGTATCGGCAAATAATGTCGTCCACGAATACAAAGTCTGTACCTGGACACAAAGTCCTAACCTTAGAGCTTCTTGATGCTAGCTCTAAGACTTCCGGAAGCAAAGTCACAAAACAACACGCTTCCATCAATTTTGTCATGTTTGTGAATGAAGCCCGTTATGCTTAAATTTTCCCATGTTTCCCACTATTGTTGATGTCCCTGACATACCCTCCTAACTAGACAGTGATTCCTTATATTTCCATTTCATTGTGAAATAAAATTGTAGATTTAGACTTTAAAAAATGCAGACATGGATTTAAATTACACGATGATTCCCATCCCAATTTCAAAAGCCCTCGCCCACTGACATCAAACACAAAGGCAGCCACACAAGATTTTCATGCATATTTGGCATCCTTAGCGTCAGGCTCCGAGACAGACGTGCACAAGATTTGCATGCATATTAGGCCTCCTTAGCTCCTGACATATTGACCTACCATTTAAATTCCGGTAGAATTATCAAGAAATTAACTCCGCTAGCTCTCAAAGAGTTATCACAGAGAGAAAAGTTAGAAATGGAAATATTTACTTTTAAACCACTGTATGACTGAATGAGTTTTTCGAAGATGTTTACAGACCATTTCATTAAATTCCCAGTAAATTTGACAAGCATTAAAAAATCAAAACTACGTTCAGTGTTTTTGACGGGTATAGATACCCCCAGTCAATGTCAGAATATACTTCATTACTTGTCCAAATGTTCTTGTAAATATTTATAGAAGACACCACCCTTCACGCGACAAACAAAATAAAAAGGAGCTAGTGAAGGTTTGATTTTAATCGGACTGCCTTTTATGCATTTACTTATAATGTCGTCAATTGAAATTCAATTGTATTTGCTTATTTACCGCTGTCTGTTTTCAAGTCGACGAAAGAAAATTCGGAATCCGATTTCACACAACTTTTTTGAACAATGACACTAAAATGCAATTGCTGGAGTAAAATAAGGAAAGCAAGTCGTAATAAGACAAAATGCAAGTGCAAGCCAGAAAATGAATACTTATCCATCTGTTTATTCGCACGCACTTATATATATTATCTATTTATAACTCATTTATATAACCCCTTACAACTTTGTTGCAATTTATGGAGGAACTGACAATGCGGAGTCAGTTCAAGTATTGTTTTTAGAAGGAAAAACAAGGTACATACATACAAATTGTCACGGGAAGGGACGGGAGAGGGGGGGGGAGGTTAAGATTTTTTTTTTTTGCAAGAACATGTTTATGAATCAGTCAAAAAACTAGGTTTCTGAATGTTACGTGTGGAATTATTTGAAATTATTACACAGGTAAATTGTATAAAAAGAATAAAATTAAAAATAAAACAAACCCGGTTCTCTCAAACGAAGGGGCGTGCCCACCCCCCCCCCCCCCCCCAATTTTATAATTAAATTACATTCTATACTTATAAACAGTGTAATGAACTTGTAACATGTATTATGCAATATGCACCACTAAATATACATAAAGGCAGTGGATTTTATTCATTTTACATAATACACTGAAAACAATAAAGCCCACTTATATGATCTTAATACCATCGGGTGTACGAGATATTGATATTTACAGCAACAATGACTAGTTTTGTTGGACAGCTTACCTTGAAAAAAATAATCTATCATATTTTCTTTTTCTGGATTTCAGAACGTATTTCAGTAGGAACATGCAACAATTTATTTGTTAGAAATTTTACAAACATTTTTATTCTTATTTTAAATAAGTAGGCCTAGATCGATTGAATTTACTTGAACAAAAAAAAAAAAAAAAATTTACCTTTCTCGTCCACATAATCTCAGGATCTCTTCACAATTTTAAATTGTCATATATCTTTCAAATTACCTTTTCTAAGGAATTATGAAGTTCTAAAAAATATTATCAACAGCAAGTCAGCAACTTAAAAAAAGTTGAAAAAAAGTATTTTTTACACGATCTATTGTGACGTCATCAATGAATCTATTGCGTAATATTCATAAACATTTCCAGGCGAGAATCAAACAATTATATCAGTTGCAAAACAAACATAAAAAGTGCTAAAAATCTTGATTATTTAAATATTTTCTTATTTGCGTACTATTACAATCTTTCTCTGTTACATTTTTTTTTGGGGGGGGGGGGGGGGGGTCAGATGAACACTTTAACTTAAATCTTTAAGCATGCTGAAATAACGTTATCCCAAACGATATTTTTCACCTGAAGGGTGGATAAAATATATTGTCTACCTAATTTATTGTTCAGTCTATGTTCTTAATGATAATGATTAGACTTATTTACTTATTTTGTAACTTTCTAAAAAAAAATTAACAGCAATTACGGTGCCTTTATTGAAAAATGATTTCACATTAGATTTCTCAACTTGAAATCCGGAATAACAAAGAAGGCATATAAACTCAATTTCAACATTGGCCGCAGCAAACGCGATTCACAAGATGTTGTTAAATCGAAACATTTTTGAGTTATAAAAAATATATGTAAGTTTCATGAATCGCGTTCATTGCGGCCAAAGTGAATTTTGCGATCAAAGATATAAAAACTGCCATTTTTAGAGAATGTATTGAAACATGATATGGTTTTGAGATTTACGTAGCGTTTGTGTGACGTTTTGGCGCCATTTTACATCCGTGATCAGATAGACCTGATCGTGTACAAAATATATCAACACTTTATTTTTGAAGGTATCATTGTTTATTTTTGACGAATTTACTAGGCCGATAGTGGTAACAACCGTATTTTCTTCTTTCTCTTCCAAACTTGCATTTTTTTCTTTTGATTCAAATCAATAATTATTCAGAAATATGATTATTATGTTGTTTATTGTGGTTTTGAAATATCTTGATCACCTCATGTGTTCTCATATGCTTTACCATCGGAGATGTGCACAAGTCGATACCCAAACCAAAAAATCATTCAAGTGTAACGAGCGGGTTGGGGTATATATATATACATGTATATTGTTACAATGAGACAAGGTATCTGAAAGAAATATGGCGGAATACAGCTATAGTTGGTATGAAACAAGTCGTACATAGATGAAAATGTTGCGTTTTTAAGAATTCATGTCAGCTTTAAAATCTCTTTTAAAAACTTGCTCATGACAGTGATGGTATCTAGATGTGTTTATGCTGTTTTTCTTCTCTGTCTTCTCTATACTGACAAATTATCTTTCTCTTACATATTTAAACTGCTTTTATTGCCGATTTTTCTCCATTCTTCACATGGCTATAAACAGCGACATGCAACTTTTAATACAGACTGGAGATAACTCTTAAACTTTGACCCACATTCTTGCTGAATGAAAATACTTTTTAACAACCAAAAATCAAAATAAAAAACACCGGGGCAGGACACTTTGAGAGGGGCGGGCAGGGATGAGAATCTAAAGATTAATATTATCTGGCTTTATTAAATTTTATTTTATGTAGACAAATACTGTTGGCATGACACTGTACATTGCGCTTTTACTTGATGACAAAATTTAATGGTATATATATATATTTTTTATCGTGTAATACTTTGTGGCAGTGCCACATGGTGAAGTAAAATGTGTACAGCAAACTCGTTTAATACGAACACAGATATTGTGAATTCACAGATATAGCAAAGTAATCTTGGATTCCCAGCTTTGTAATTTTAACAAACTCTTATATGAATATTAACGAATTACGGATATAGCGAAGTAATTTCACAGGTCCCAGTGACTTCGTTATAACCGAGTTTTACTGTATATGCTTTTAAAGCAACCATTTTCACATTCACAAAATTTAACAAAATTAAGAAATCTTAAAAATCCATCAACAATTCAGTGTGTATATAATGGACTAACAATTAGTATGAAAATGTCAGTCAGCATTTGACTTAATGATAAATTGTATTTGCTGACAAGGTCATTGTATTGACCATAGAACTTTCTTGCCTTGCGTATTCCAGGTCAGGACCTGGCATGTAATGATTAAGTGACTTCTTTAGTATGTGTTCCAATTCAGCCCACATCCTCTGTCTTATTTCAACATCAAATGGTTCCGGCCCTGTTCTCTTCCATAGTACTAGCAAGCAAAGCCATCATTAGTTTTTCGTCAAAAAGTGAAGATTCAGTTTTCAAGTCAGGTAGGTTGGGGTGAAGTAGGTAACCAGGTTTACTTTGTATGTTTATTATTTATTATACCCCATGCAACAAGTTGCGGGAGGTATAATGTTTTTGACCCGTCCGTCAGTCAGTAGGAGTGTCAGTCAGTCAGTCAGTCAGTCAGTCAGTCCTATTTTTTTATCAGCGCAACTCCTCATAAACCACTGCACAGAGTTTTGTCAAACTTTGCAGTTATTTAGGACACAATGTGTAGATGTGCATATTACCAGGAAATTCCGATTCCTTAATTTTTCTGTGAATTTCCGCACTTTTCAACTTAGATTTTTGGCCATACCTAGAGTATAGAGATGAACAGATTGTCAGCCAACTCCTCTAAACCACTGCACAAAATTTCGTTAAACGTAGCATATATTTAGGACACAATGTGTAGATGTGCATATTACTAGGAAATTCTGATTCCGTAATTTTTCTGGAAATTTCAGCACTTTTCAACTTAGATTTTTGGCCATACCTTGAATATAGAATTGAACAGATTGTCTGAGTGCAACTTTTCAGAAACAGCTGCACAGAATTTCATCAAACTTCGCAGATATTTAGGACACAATGTGTAGATGTGCATATTACCAGGAAATTAGGATTCCCTTATTTTTCCCAACAAATTCAGCACTTCAAGTTTTGGGGGAGCATTGGGAATGTGAGCTTGCACACTTTTTCTTTCCTTGACACACTTTTTTTTACCTTTAGTTGATTTTACTTGGTGCAAGGAAGCTGGACATTACACAGGTGAATTTGAGTATCAACAATCCAAAGTGAAGATTCTTGCTGAAAATTGTTTCAGGATGTTGGAATCAAAAAGGATCACTTCCGCAAGAATAGACATCAAAGGTATTAAAAATTACAAGAATTACAATAATTACAAAAATGTTGATTAATCAAATTTTTATTGGCTTACTTGATCAGAAGACTAGAGTGAGAATTTCTAATCAAAGAGTGTCCAGAGTCTTTCAAATCCCACTATCAAATTTCAAGTTTTTCACCAATTTCAAGTTAACTTGCTGTAACATATTTTTATGCCCCCATCAAAGAAGGGAGGGTATATTGCTTTGCTGCTGTCTGTTGGTCCACCATCAGTTTCTATTAATTTTATTTGCAGAAGTAACACATATTGTAATGGACTTGGGTATACAGATTTATCATAAACTTATCAAGATAAATTTGTTTGGGTATGTTTGGGCCATTTTGGACAGAGTTATGCCCCTTGGACTTAGGAAAATTCCAATTATTTGCTGAGCTCCTGCTCATTTTCTTTGCAGAGGTTGCACAAATTGAAATGAAATTTGGTATACAGATTTATCATGAGAATATCTAAATCAAGTTAAGTTTTTGTATACAATTGAGCCAAGGGGATTCAAAGTTTGTTGAAATGAAGAACCACATCCTCAATATATTTTTTTGAAAGGGATTCAAACCTAGTTTTAAATTAAAAATGTTAAGTTCTTTGTCCTTGGGGGAGCTTGAGGGGGAGAGGCCGCAATAAGGATTACATTGTACATAGGAAAAAAAAATATATACAAGAATAGCAACCGTTCCATGTATCGTATGGACATGTATTTTCCTCTGTTGGTGTCCATCACTCAAATTTGGCCCCTGTGCATAAGATGGGGCCACAAATGGTGATCAAAATTTTACATTGGAATACCATATATTGGGGGAAAATATATAACAGAACAGGGGGTTCAAAGTGAATCAGGCAAGCTTTGTGGTCCATGGGCCTCTCCCTATAGTTTTCCAATATTTTAGACTTTTATTCAAATGAATTCATGATAAACTCTTGGATAGTTATTTAACAAATGTCATTTTATTTTATTTTTTATTTTTTTGTAGATATGTATAAAGACAGAAATGGACACTATGAAGAAATAATAGAGGAATTTTGCAAGAAACTATCAGTAACTGCTTCAAGCAAAAGTGGATCAAATACTGACCAAAATGACAGGATGCGTTATCTGAAAAAATTACAACTTCTCTTGCATGAGGAAGAGTTTCAAAGGATACTGGAGCAAAGGAGTTACACTGAGTCACAATCCAAGTTAACCAAGTGGTTTCCATCACTTTTAAAAAAAGGTAATTTTATTTTTATTTATTTTAATTCACAAAGGCATATTAACCAAGTATCAATCTATAATATATGTGGTGCCTGAAAGACGTGTGAATAAAATGGTCAAATAAGTAACTAAATAAAACTGAAACAAGTTGCACCTAGGGGCAACAGAGTTCAAAAAAGCTATTTTTAAATGTAGGTCACAGTCAGGAACACAAGGTGCCATTTGAAAAAAACTTAATTAGTGAAGTAAGCATACCAAATATAAAGTCTCTATTTCCTATGGCTCAAAAATTATGGCAATGGTTCGAAAAAGCTATTTTTAGCATATAAGTCACAGTCAAGGTCACACAAGGTCATTGACCTTGATGACATTTGAAAGAGCTTAAATAGTGAAACTAACATTCCAAATACATGTATGAAGAAAAGGAAGGGCCAGGTCCCCTCAAAGGGAGAAAATGAAGGAAAAAAAAAAGGGTTGGGTCCTCTTCTCAAGGACCACTGAGCCAGAAAAACTGAAACTTATCTGAAAACATTCTGGAGTAGTGTAGATTCTAAATTGTGTTACAAAGTGTAATACATTCCTAGGTTTATATAGGGATGCAAATGTTCAAAGCATTTGTTTTGTGAGAGACTCTGACCTACTTATTTACTACTACTTAGAATTACATTTGTTGATGTGAGCTTTGTGATCTTTTATTAGGTACTTGTACATAAACATGTCTTGTTTCATTAAAGATGCTGAATTGGACTGGAAAGAAGTTCAAAGAAGACAAGCACCAGAGGTGCTCTGTTGTGTTCTAGGCCCGTCCCAAAAGCACGTACAAAACACGCTGGAACACTTTAAGGAAGAAGTTGCATTGAGAATTAAGGTACATTAAGAATTTTTATTTTACAGGTATTAATTGTAGGAAAGTGAGGCTGAGATAAGTAGATTTTGTAGATTTAGGTTTAATGGCCCCTCAGTCTGATATTTTTCACACAGGCTTATTTTCCATGCTAGCCTAATGTACTTAATAAAATATGTAGATTTTATTGTCCCATGGCACAATTAGCTGCAGTCGAGGAGAGATAACATTGTTTCTCAGCCTCTCCACACTTACAATAAAGGACGAACTAACCCTTATATTCATTTTTAAGTTAATCAGTGAAATATTTCTTAAAATAAATGGGTTACATGTAACCTGTTCCAAATTTTGACCAATTCCGAAAAATTATCAGTTTTAGCACTGATAATAAATAAATGGATGATGCATCTTGAAATGAAACAAACATGCTTTAAATGCTGCATCTGCCCTGTATTTTCCAGATGATTGAATTTTAGCTATACATGTACTTTAAACAAAGGATGATGTGACATAAATGCTATTAGAGGCCCCTTTTTCAACTACAAATTATTTAATTTACAATATGTTTTTGATAGTTTTCAAACTTGAGTGAATAAATATGATGCCTTTTGAATAGACTTTGAAATAGTTCTGACACATTTTAATTATAGGGAATACTACATTATCTATGATTTTTTATACCCTAGCTATCACGGCAATATTCAGCCTGGTTTGTGACAACATGTCCTTTTATAGGAAGAGATCGGCGGGTCTTCGTATAATATAAGAGGAATCTGCCTTACATGTAAATGGCTGTTGTTATTATTTCACACATAATTACTTGCCAAGAACAACTGTCTCATCAGATGACAGAACGACAAAACATGCTGGTTTACTACATGTTTTCATTCTACCACGTGGTTTAGGTCAATTTACCTATTATTCTCTTCTGCATTTAACACTTTTAATGGTCAGCCAAGGCTGTTTATACTTAATAATAAGCATGGATTCTCAGCGCTTGTGGTTTGTGGTCAAGAAAAGCACACAAAAGTTGTATTCACTTATACTCAGGAATACATGTAGACCTAGTGAATTGCCCACCAAACACTTTACAAAATTTTAAACTATGTATATCTATCAATCGTTTGTAACTGGATCTCGGAAATTGTACATATGTACATCCGTGTCTAATCTGTGACTCAAATGCATGAGAAAATTATCAGAGAGCAGGTAAAATAAGCCTTTTTTTTCCAAGCATGAAATTTCCATAATATCAGAGCTGCCAACCCTTACGATTTTGGTGTAAGTCATTCGAAATTAACACCTAAAATATGCCTTACAATTTCTCTCTATATTCTTCCGATTTTGGTTTTTCTCGATCAAAGTTTATAATACCAGAATTTTCATAGCTGCCTTCTACAATTTCTACTATTATCATTAAATATTCATAATCCTTGCAACGCTTCCTTGTGTTGTTGCTTCGGTTTTAGAAGGCCGATCATATTCATGAAAATGTTTTAAAGTAAACAAAATAGAAACATGTTCACCCTAAACGTCAGCTGAATAAGAATTTATAAGTTCAGGCAAATTCTTAACATTTCTTTACACATAAATTCTCATAAAACCGGCCACTCCTGAAAACCGGACACCGGCCACTTTTCCAAGAACAAAAGTTAAGAAACATAGGAAATTTCCCCTTTACAATTTTTTTCTGTTCTTATTTTAGAATTCATTTTATAAAAATCAACAGGTATGTCGAAATCATCCTCACTTATTTTAGAATTCATTTTATAAAAATCAACAGGTATGTCGAAATCATCCTCACTTATCACTAATGATAAAATATGCTGTTTTTTTTTTTTTTTTAGACCTTTGGTATACATTACGGTTCTGGCGATAATTAGTAACATGTTGAAAGATAATTATAACAGACACCAATTCTATGTAATCTTTTCTAGCATCTGGCAGATAGTTCCAAATGCAATATAACAGCTTGCATATTTTTCTTCAGGAAATCATACTCAGCATGAAAAATTTTGTTTGTACTGTTTATTTTATTTGGTATTTTTATACTATACATACTACATTAATGCGTACTACATCATACATGTACAATCGTGCAAGTATTGAAAATCTGCAATTCTTGAGTATGCTAAATTCTTGGGAAACCAGGTCACCCCTCTAGTCCGGCCATTTTATTCAATCTGGCAGCTTGCCGGTTAAGAGAAGTTTTACTGTATTGCCAATTCCTCAGTTAGCATAAGAATGTATTCTTACATCAGAAAATCTAATTTCAGTGATTTGGTTATAATGGGAAAGGCCAGCTAGATTTTACAATTTTCATGCCTTGCCATGAATATGGCAGTGGCATATAGTGTTTTTCATGTCCGTCTTCTGTCCTTCCATCTTTCCATCCTTCCTTCCTTCAGTCCTTCCATCACACTTGGTGTTTAGCTCCGTTCAGAGCTCTGTTTCAAGGAAACTGTCCAAGATATTTTCATCAAACTTCATATGCTGATAGATATTGATGAGAGCTATGCAACTGCATCAACATTTTTTGACTTCCACCTTTCCTTTGACATTGACCTCATTTCACTTCTTAAATTAATGTTTAGCTCAGTTTTAACCATACCTTTCAAGATGGTGTTGTCAAACTTCACATGTTGACACATACTGATGAGAGCTATTCAAATGCATCACCATTTTTTACCTTTACCTTTCCTTTGACCTTTATGACCTCACTTTTCTTTAATAAGTGTTTAGCTCAGTTTTAAAGATACCATTCAAGAGAGTATTATCAAACTTCATATGCTGATACATACTGAAGAGAGGTATTCAACTGCATCAACATTTTTGACTTCGACCTTTCCTTTGACATTGACCTCATATCACTTCTTAAATTAATGTTTAGCTCAGTTTTAACCATACCTTTCAAGATGGTGTTGTCAAACTTCACATGCTAATACATACTGATGAGAGCTATTCGAATGAATCATCATTTTTGACCTTTACTTTTCCTTTGACCTTTATAAGCTTTTCTGATCACGTTTTGTCCATCATCCGTCTGTCTGTCTGTCTGTAAACTTTTCACATTTTCGACTTCTTCTGAAGAACTGCTGGGCCAATTTCAACCAAACTTTTCACAAGGCATCCTTGGGTGAAGGGGATTCATGTTTGTTCAAATGAAGGGCCATGCCCTCATTCAAGGGGAGATAATTGGAAATTAATGAAAATTTGGAGGTATGTTTTAAAAATCTTCTTCTCAAGAACCACTGTGCCAGGAAAGATGAAACTTATAGGGAAACATCCTCAGGTAGTGTAGATTCAAATTTGTTCAAATCATGACCCCCGTGTGTAGGGCAGGGCCACAATGGCCGACCAAAGTTTTACAGAGAAATATATAGGAAAATTCTTTAAAATCTTCTTTTCAAGAATAACAAAGCCATAATTAATCATATTTATATGGAAGCATCCACAGGTAGTGTAGATTCAAGTTTGTTCAAATTATGACCCCTTGGGGTAGGGCAGGGCCACAATGGCGGACCTAAGTTTTACAGAGAAAAATATAGGAAAATTCTTTAAAAATCTTCTCAAGAATAGCAAAGCCATAATTGGTCATATTTATATGGAAGCATCCTCACGTAGTGTAGATTCAAGTTTGTTCAAATCATGACGCCCAGAGGTAGGGCAGGGCCACAATGGCCGATCAAAGTTTTACATAGAAATATATAGGAAATTTATTTAAAAATCATCTTCTCCAGAATAGTAAAGCCATAATTGATCATATTTATATGGAAGCATCCTCAGGTAGTGTAGGTTCAAGTCTGTTCAAATCATGACCACTGAGGGTAGGGCGGAGCCACAATGGCCATTCAAAATTTTACATAGATATATATAGGAAAATTCTGTAGAAGTCATCTTCTCAAGAATAGCAAAGCTATGATTGGTGATGGGACTACTTTTGGATTTAAACTTTTCAATAATAAACCAATTTCTACTTTTTCCTAGCCACAGTGCTCAGGTGAGCAATGTGGTCCATTGGCCTCTTGTCTTTAATAAGTGTTTAGCTCAGTTTTAAAGATACCATTAGAGAGTAATATCAAACTTAATATGCTGATACATACTGATGAGAGCTATTCAACTGCATCAACATTTTTGACCTTGACCTTTTCTTTGACCTTGACCACACTTTTCTTAAACAAGTGTTTAGCTCCGTTTTTAAGAAACCACCCAAGATATTTTTTATCAAACTTCATATGCTGATGCATACTGATGAGAGCTATTCAACTGCATCAGCATGTATGACCTTGACCATTCCTTTTACTATGACCTTACTTTTCAATAATTAGTGTCAAACTTCTTATGCTGATACATACTGATGTAAGCAATTCAATTGCATCAACATTTTTGACCTTGACCTTTCATTTGACCTTCAAATTGTGTAAGTCAGTTTTAAAGAAATTATTCAAGATTTTTTTCATCAAACTTTATATGTTGGTACATATTGATGATAGATATGCAACTGCATCAACATTTTTGACCTTGATCTTTGCTTTTACCCTGACCTAACGTTACTAAATTATTGTCGAACTTCATATGCTGATACATATTGATGTAAGCATTTCAACTGTATCAACGTTTTTGACCTTGACCTTTCATTTGACCTTTGACCTCACTTTTAAAATTGTGTTTATATCAGTTTTAAAGAAACCATTTATAATTTTTTCAACTTCATATACTGATACATACTGATGAGAGCTTTTCAACTGCATCAACATTTTTTGACCTTGGCATTTTTGACATTGACCTCAGTTTAAAGAAATTAGTGTCAAACTTCATATGATGATACATACTGATGTAAGCAATTCAAATGCATCACTATTCAAGATATTCTGATCAAATTTCATATACTAATAAACCCTCAGCGGGGCATTCATGTCCTATGGACATATTTCTAGTTTAAAATAGCATGTAAGTGGATACAATTTTCTCCTTTCACATATAGGAAGATTTCAATAATATACATTGACCAGCCAAAGGAGAAAATTGTACCTATCTGTGCTCGTATATTTTAAGGGCTTCAAAGAATGGGGCGGAGTTAAAATTAAATGGGAATTGGATGTAAACATGATACCCCTACCCAAATGAAAGATCTTTATCTTTCAAATTACAAATCTTTTTTGTTCAAATAGTATTACATTAGTTGCATGCAAAAATTAGAGTAAAATTTGGACATTTAATTTTTTGTCAATTTACTGTGGGCTGTAAATAAGTCACCTCATCCCTAGCATAGAAGATTTATTTGGGATGAACACTACCAGACTTGCTTTGGATGCTGGATCTGACCTACATATTGCAGATCAGAGATCAGGGTATGTTTTGGATAAACTCTGTAATTTAATGGCCTGTTGTGATTAAACTTGCATAGATGATGCATCTAAGGATTGACTCTTGCTTTGGTTGTTGGAACTGAAAGAAACAATTTCTTGATTTGTGACCAGGTTAAACTTTTTGGAGCAGGTTCATTCCAAATAAACTATTAGTCCTATTTAAACCAAAGTTTATGAATATTGTTCTCAGGATGCACACTAAACTAAAAAAATATGCTGTGAGATTTACATCAGTAATAATAGCATTTGTGGCAGTGAGCTTCATATGATTTGATTACCTATGTTAAAAAAAAAAATGGTAAGGCCAGTGATTTTACAACAATTAATATAAAACAGTTCATCTTTCATTCTTGTTTAGATAAACATTTAATTGAATAAATATAAGGTGTGATGTTTTTTAAAACCTTATGTAATACAAGGATACTAATTGCCTGTCTGTCTGTCTGTACAATGAAGAAATTGAATTTGAATATTGTTGTGAATGTATCTTTCATGATGTTATGTTTATAGCTCACCTGAGCCGGAGGCTCAAGTGAGCTTTTCTGATCAAAATTTGTCCATCGTCTGTTGTTGTCGTTGTCGTTGTTGTCTTCTTCTCAACAACCACTGGACCAATTTCAACCAAACGTGCCACAAAGCATTCTTGGGTGAAGGAGATTTAGGTTTGTTCAAATGAAGGGCCACGCCCTCATTCAAGGGGAGATAATTGGGAATTAATGAAATTTTGGTGGCATGTTTTAAAAATCTTCTTCTCAAGAACCACTGTGCCAGGAAAGATGAAGCTTATGGGGAAACATCCTCAGGTAGTGTAGATTCAAGTTTGTTCAAATCATGACCCATGGGGGTAGGGCGGGGCCAAAATGGCTGACCAAAGTTTTACATAGAAATATATAGGAAAATTGTTTAAAAACTTCTTTTCAAGAATAGCTAAGCGATAATTGATCATATATTTATCTTGAAGCATACTCAGGTGTGCATATTCAATTTTGTTCAAATTATGACCCCCGGGGGTAGGGCGTCACTGGCCACAATGGCAGATCAAAGTTTTACATCGACATATATAGGAAAATTCTTTAACCATCATCTTCTCAAGAATAGCAAAGGCGTGATTGGTCATGGGACTACTTTTGGATTTAAGCTTTTCAATAATAAACCAATTTCTACTTTTTCCTAGCCACAGTGCTCAGGTGAGCGATGTGGCCCATGGGCCTCTTGTTGAAATTACTTTGATAGTAACGGAAAAATGGAATCAGCTTATCAGTGAGTAAGGCTGTCGCGATTGCTCCATGGTGACAAAAAATGCTGATTTTACAATAATATCACCTTATTGAGTTCCATTTGATCAATTAACTTATGAAATGAAACAACATACTACAGTTACTGTACATCCTCAAAACTTTTTTTGCTGTGAATTTGGACATTGAATTAATTTCATTACCATTTTACTGTTTTCCATGTAATCCAACACCCTTTCTGTTCTGTCACAAAATTTGTCTCCTGGTGCATGTTGTATATTTCATTACTTATTCATTTAACTTTGAGGGACCCTCAATGAGGATTGAGGAATCATGTTTTTATTTACTTGTTACATTTTATGTATGAAGAATACAAATAGATAGTTTACCACTCTTAGATTCTGTGAGATGTATTTGTAGCTATATAGCAGGCAACAAATGCATTCCTTTGGAACACACTAGTTATCTATATTTACTGATTTTGACTAAATGGTAGTACTAAATGTTTTTTCTTTCTATTTTCAATCACTGAAAATGATTGTCAATGATTAAAATTTGGGTTTTTAGGTCACCTGAGTAAACTCAGGTGACCTATTGCTATCTGTTTTCGTCCGTCGTCGTGCAGTGTGCGTCGTGCGTTGTCCGTTAACATTTGAACATTTTCAGCTTTTTCTCTGCAACCACTGAACCAATTTCAACCAAATTTGGCACAAAGCATCTATGGGTGAAGGGGAACAAAAATTTTGAATTTCATGGTCCCTGCCTCCCTGGGGCCTGAGTGGTGGGGCCAAAACCACTAAAATTAATGCAATCTTTAAAAATCTTCTTCTTTACTCCTGGACATCAAGCAGTCAAACTGTTTGCATGATTGTAATCAGTATTGAGTCCTCTAATAAAATTGTGAATTCATGGCCCCAGGGTCAGGGGTTCTAGTGCTAGGGCGGGGCTAAATAAGTACATAGTGAAAATGCATTATTTCTTTGAAAATCTTCTTCTCTGCTCCTGGGTATTAAATAAACTAACTAAGTGCATAGTTATGATGAGCAAGAGTGCCTCTACCAAAATTGTGAATTTTATGGCCCCAGTGTCAGGGGTTCTGGTGTTAGGGCGGGGCTCTATAGATTATATAGTGAAAGTTCATAAATTCTTTGAAAATCTTCTTCTCTGCTCCTGAGTATTTAATAAATTAACTAAGTGCATAGTTATGATGAGCAACAGTGTCTCTACCAAAATTGTGAATTTTATGGCCCTAGGGTCAGGGGTTCTGGTGTTAGGGCGGAGCTCTATTGATTATATAGTGAAAATACATGAATTCTTTGAAAATCTTCTTCTCTGCTCCTGGGTATTAAATAAACTAACTAAGTGCATAGTTATGATGAGCAACAGTGCCTCTACCAAAATTGTGAATTTTATGGCCCTAGGGTCAGGGGTTCTTGTGTTAGGGCGGAGCTCTATTGATTATATAGTGAAAATACATGAATTCTTTGAAAATCTTCTTCTCTGCTCCTGGGAATTAAATAAACTACAAGTACATAGTTATGATGTGCAAGAGTGCCTCTACCAAAATTGTGAGTTTTATGGCCCCAGGGTCAGGGTTATGGTGTTAGGGTGGGGTTCTATTGATTATATAATGAAAATAGATTACATGAATTCTTTGAAAAATTTCTTTTCTGCTCCTAGGAATTAAATGAACTAAGTACATAGTTATGATGAGCAAGAATACCTCTTCCAAAATTTTGATTTTATGGCCCTAGGGTCAGGGGTTCTAGTGATAGGGCTAGTGATAGGGCAGGGCTCTATTGATTATATTGTGAAAATACATTAAATCTTTGAAAATTTTCTTCTCTGCTCTTGGGTATTAAGCAGATGAACTACCTATGTAGTTATGATGAGCAAGGACCCTAATCTTCCAGAATTGTGAATTTCAAGGCCCCAGGGTCAGGGGGTACCATGGGGGGGGGGGGGGTGTAATTATATACTGAAACTGGATGAATTGTTTAAGATCTGCTCCTTGGTATTAATCAAATATTTTTGAAAAGCAAGGGTGCCATTTCAAAAATTGTGCAATGTGTGGATCTAGGCCTAAGGGTCAGGGGTTCATGTGTGATAGGGGCATTACTGATTATTGCTGAATATTACTGATTACTTGAAATGCATTTTTGTTCCCCCACCCTGCCTATGGGTATTAAGTAAACAAACTAAGCAACTGGTAAGTGTATTGTTATGATGATCAATGGTGCCTCTTTCAAAAATTGTGAACGCCATAGCATCTGGCTTAAAACATGAATCAAATTCAATAACTGGAAAGTAGTTGCATAAAGCTCAGGTGACCTATATAGCCCATAGGCCTCTTGTTCTCTTCTGTTTTGATTTTTTTTTTATTGAATCCTTAGGGTACTGGAAGATGGTGTGTTTGTCGAGATTACAAATGGGAGTTTGTATCTAAAAAATGCAATATCAAACTCAATGAGGCAGATGAGATAGGCTCATCAGCAATAGAAATAAAAGATGAGGATGGTATAACATACACATATAACATTGACACAATGGAGAGACGACCATCTGAAAATCAAGGTGATATAAGGAAGCAGAAAATTTTATGCATTGAAGGTGAGTGGAGTAGAACTCTTACATAAAAGAATGAAATTCCATGAATCTGAGTTGGCTCTATGTTTATATATGCAATATTTCAAGCTTATAAACCACTCTTTCACTTGACCTATCAAACTAATTAAGCCATTGATTATTTTTTACAGTATTTTACTGATCAAATGTATTTGTTTTGTTTTTGTATAATTTGCCTCTTCTCTCCACCCACTCCCCCCCCCCAAAGGAAAATGATGAATTCAATCATAAACTTGTTAATACTGTATAAGTGGAATTTTAGCAATACTCAAAAGCGATTTGTCCTTAAAATTGGTGTATTATTCTTAGCGCAATGGAATTGTCAATTTTAAAATGCTCACTAAAGAAACTATTATAAGTCTGGTTGTAATGACTGAGGGATGATGTCTATATCAAATGATGGAGTGTTTGTTGCTGTGTCGATTTCTAGCCATGATTCAGATGGCCTTGTGAGGCCTCAGTGATAGTGGACAGTGTTGCGCTAGCTACTTGCTTTTGATCTGAAGACAATTCATTATTTATTTTGGTGCGCCAACAACTTACTTTTGATCCCAAGATCATTAATTATTTATTTTGTTTGTAAAATGATATATCATATCTAATTACTAGTGTTGGCATCTCAGACGATTTTTAGTAACCGGTTACTCGCTTCATCTTCCGATCGAGTACCCGGTTACTCGGATGATTTTTGGTAAAAGTATCAATCTCTACTATTTATCTTATTCTATACTTATTGGTAGTGGTAATGCACAAATATACTGTATAGGGACATTATATTTACAATACACACATACGATATTATTAAAGATTTACGATTTTAAAATAAAGAAAATTAATAGGGAATTCGACACACAAAGACAAATCTTCATCGTCAATCACCATTTTACACTTTCTTTTTCAGCCCCCGAAATATGTCACAATCAAGGAGAATAATTATTTACATACTCCATAATTAATAATTAATATGTGGAGTGTCCAGTATCATACATGTTAACTCTCCCGATTTATGCGGGAGTCTACTGCTTTTTCACTCCATCTCCCGCCTACCGATTTAATTCAGAAATCTACCGCTTTTCTACAAAAGCTGCTTCTAAAGTATTTTTGGTTCGCTTGGGTATCCATTTTTGAAGCCACTCTCATAAAATCTCGCTAGATATCGCGTGATTTGACTCGGAATTATACAAACGCTTTTTTGTACATAGATTTCAAGCACGGATTTGACAACGACAACAACACAAGATTACATTGGTTACGATAAATTAATCAACATCCCTGCCATGAAAAAGGAGATACAGCTTTTAAGAATTAGATGAAAACATTTGACATCGTCTTTAAAAGCACAGAAGCTCACAACTTTATCAATAAAGTCAATAGAAATCACTCGATTGACCAAGCCATGTGGCACATCTCTACTTTCGTTTTCGATCATCGCGGGAAATCTGATATATATAACGAAAGATAGGAACTTGTTTTAGATCTAGATTAAACCATGTCATCATTTGTTTTGTTTAAAAACTGAATGAACATTCAAAATTATTGCTTCTAGGCTAACTGAATGAACATTCAAAATTATTGCTTCTAGGCTATACCAGCAAAGATCACTCTTCAAAAGTCTAAGTAAAGCAGCCAATCCAAGCAAAATGATGAGCATAAAATATTTGGATTCGTACAATTTATGTCAAACTTAAGGTGTTTCTGTCTTCTTCTTTGCTGTTGATATTTAAGATTAATTAGTGTAGGTACCTGATTTCATTTAAGGCTTATAATATACATGTATATTACATGAAAGATATCGATAATCCAAGCGTTAAACAACACGCGCGCAATGCTACCGCTTTTGAGGTCTGAATCTCCCTATTTTTCATCACAATAGGTTAACATGTATGCCAGTAAATCGCTGGTTTCCGAATAATTTAAGCTTAGGTGATTTAATAGATTTTGAATCAGCTGTTCTTTTGTTACAACTCCAAGCTTATTATGTCTGCGGCGGCATCTCGTTAAATAATCAAATGAGGTAATCCTAACTCAGGCGTTCAAAATATGTATACCCAAAGCAATGAAAGCTATCAATTATATAAACTGTGAAAACTAATCAAAACAATTTGATTCACTACAACCATGTACTAGATCAAGTCTAACGGTACCTAAAATTAGGGAAATGTGTAAGTTAGTATACATTTATAGTTATAAAACTTTCATTTTCTATACCTTTACTATGTAGAATTTATTTCATCCGAGTAACCGAATAGCAGTTTTACTAACCGATACTCGCAACGTTCGACGGTTAACCGGTTAAGCGGGTACTCGTTGCCATCACTACTAATTACTATGTAAACAATTAAACAAACTTTTTCTTCTTCAGTGAATTCATATGCCAGTCATATACATGCAGGTTGACATTTGACCCTTGGGTAGTATTTCAATGGAGAAATATCATACAACTAACATACCATAATTAAAAATAGGGAGATTTAGACCTCAAAAGCGGTAGCATTGCACGCGTTGTTTTACGCATGGATTTGCAAAGATGTAAGTATGTTAATATGGCCTAAAATGACCACTGGTGATAGAGTAATCTCAAATATCAACAACAATGACACTTAGTTTGCCATAAATTATAAAACAAATATTTTTCATGCTCATGAGTTTGCTTTGATTGACTGCTTAACAGCCTTTCGTAGCATTATCCTTGTTGATATAGCCTGGAAGCAATAAATTCTGAATGTTCATTCAGCTCTCAAACACAGAAGATGATGACATTGTTAAATCCAGATTTAAAATGTAAACCTAAGATCTTTTGTTAGATAAACTGAATTTCCCGTGCTTATTGAAAACGAAAGTAGAGATCCAGATGAGTATCGATGCAATATATCTCGTGCCTCATGGCTTTGTCAATGGAGTGATTCCTATAGATTTTATTGATAAAAATGTGAGCACCTGTGCTTTTATAGACGATGTCACACGTTTTCATCCATTTCTGGAATGCTATATCTTCTTTTTCGTGGCATTGATATGGACGACATTTATTGTAATCAATGTAATCACTGAGTTTTGTGGTGTTGTCATCAAAAACATGCTTGAAATCCATGAATACATCAGTACAAAAAAGCATTTGTAAGCTTCCGGGTCAAATCATGCAATATCTGACGAGATTTTATGACGAGTGGCTTCAAAATGGATACCCAAGCTAACCAAAAATACTTTTAACAAATCTTTTATAGAAAAGTGGTATACTTACGAATAAAAGTGGTGGGTGAGAGATCAGATGGAGTGAAAAAGCGGTATATGCATAGACTCCCACCCAAATCGGTAGAGTTAACATGTATGGAAATATACATGCCATAGGATATACACTTGTACCAAGAAATTAACAAGATGGACTTTTGTAGTGTACGTCTATCATAGAGAAAACAGTTGGAAATAGAGATATACATAAAAAATTCCATTTCTGTTTGTTTTCTCTGTGATAACTCTTTGAAAGTTAGTGGAGTTGATTTCTTGATAATTCTACCGGAAAGTAAATTAGGCAAATCGATAGGTCAGGAGCTAAGGAGGCCTAATATGCATGCAAATCTTGTGTGTGTGTGTGTGGAGGGCATAAAACACTGACTCCTGGAAATTCCATAGGTGGGATCAAGTGCCTATAAGGAGCAAACAACCCTTGTTGATCAGTCAGACTCACTGTGAGCCCTGCTTATTGATTAGGTAGATGAAACTTTCTGTAAAAACATTAAGGCCTAACAATTTATATGGAACAAGTCCGCCAAAATAAGACCCAATGATAGGTATAATTTGCTTTATCTATATCATTATAACAACTGTACAAAATGCTAACTTGAAACAAGCTAATTCAGAGAATTTGTGTCCCCCGCTTAGGGAAAAAGTCGGATCCCCCTGAATTTGTATAAAGTCCGCCGAGAACCTGTTTTATTAGCTCACCTGAGCTGAAAGCTCAAGTGAGCTTTTCTGATCACATTTTGTCCGGCGTCTGTCTGTCTGCATGTCCGTCTGTCTGTAAACTTTTCACATTTTCGACTTCTTCTCAAGAACCGCTGGGCCAATTTCAACCAAATTTGCCACAAAGTATCCTTGGGTGAAGGGGATTCAAGTTTGTTCAAATGAAGGGCCACGCCCTCATTCAAGGGGAGATAATTGGGAATAAATGAAAATTTGGTGGCATATTTTAAAAATCTTCTTCTCAAGAACTACTGTGCCAGGATATATGAAACTTATGGAGAAACATCCTCAGGTAGTGTAGATTCAAATTTGTTCAAATCATTACCCCCGAGGGTAGGGCGGGGCCAAAATGGCCGACCAAAGTTTTACATAGAAATATATAGGAAAATTCTTTAAAAATCTTCTTCTCAAGAATGACAAATCCATAATTCATCATATTTGTATGGAAGCATGCTCAGGTAGTGTGGATTCAAGTTTGTTCAAATTGTGACCCCCGGGGGTAGGGCGGGGCCAAAATGGCCGACCAAAGTTTTACATAGTCTAAGAAATATATAGGAAAATTCTTTAAAAATCTTCTTCTCAAGAATGACAAAGCCATAATTCATCATATTTATATGGAAGCATGCTCAGGTAGTGTGGATTCAAGTTTGTTCAAATCGTGACCCCCGGGGGTAGGGCGGGGCCAAAATGGCCGACCAAAGTTTTACATAGTCTAAGAAATATATAGGAAAATTCTTTAAAAATCTTCTTCTCAAGAATGACAAAGCCATAATTCATCATATATATGTGGAAGCATGCTCAGATAGTGTAGATTCAAATTTGTTCAAATCATGACCCCTGGGGGTAGGGCAGGGCCAAATTGGCCGACCAAAGTTTTACATAGAAATATATAGGAAGAAAAAGGGTTCTCGAGATATCATGTGGAAACGAAAGCGTTACAGATAGACAGAATGACGGACGGACAGACACAAATTAATATTAGGACTGAAACGGTTCACCATGGTATTTTTTCTCGGTTCGATACATGGTACGAAATCTCAACTTTCGGTTCGGTTCATTTTTCGGTCGGGATCGATATTCAGTCGGGATTGGTATAAGGTATAAATATGTTTCTCTGTATAATTAGTTCAAATTCGTAAATTTTTGTGGACTTTCAAGTTTGTAAAATAATTTTTAACAGTCAAATCAATGAAACTGATTTATTCTATCCATTTTGACATAAATTGTTAGAGAAGATTAAGTAAAAGGAAGCATAAAACAACAGTTGAATTTGTTGCCTTCTATCAAAATGTATCATATCGAATATAACCGAACTGCGATCAAATTTTACAATACGTATCGAACTGTGAAGGAGGCATATCGTTTCACCCCTAATTAATATCCCCCACTTTTCAAGCGGGGGACAACAAGGCTCTTGAAATCCCTAAAACATCAGCTTATCAGTGAGTAGCCTGTCTTGTTAGCTGATATGAGCTGAAGGCTCTATTGTCTTTGAGCTTTTCTAATCAAAATTTGTCAGTTGTCTGTCGTTGTCTATCTGTTGTTGTCGTAAACTTTTCACATTTTCATCTTCTCAAGAACCACAGGACTAATTTCAACCAAACTTGCCACAAAGTATCCTTTGATGAAATTCAAATGAAGGGCCAAGCCCTCTTCCAAGGGGAGATAATTATGAATTAGTGAAAAATTGATGGCATCTTTTAAAAGTCTTTTCAGGAAAGATGAAACTCATATGGAAGCATCCTCAGGTAGTGTAGATTCAAATTTGTTCAAATCATGACCCCTACCCCACTTGGGGAGGGTGAGGCAAAAATGGGGGAACACAGTTTAATCATACATAGGAATACATAATAAAAATCTTTAAAAATCTTCTTCTCAAGAAACACTGGACCAGGAAAGATCAAACTCATGTGGAAGCATCTTCTTGTAGTGTAGATTTAAGTTTCTTCAAATCATGACCCTCTGACCCTCTGGGTAGGTTGTTGTTACAATGGGGTATCAAAGTTTAACACAGGAATACATAGGAAAAATCTTTAAAAATCTTCTCAAGAACAGCAAAGACATGATTGGCTAAGGTTATATGGAAGTATCCATGGTTCTCCACAAGGGGTTTTACCATGGCGGCCCGCCATGGTTAAATTTATGTGCGCCATGGTTAAACGAGCTGCGCCATGGTTAAAATCGACAGCCGCCATGATTAAATTTTATTGCATTTCAGTCCTAACACCTTTTTTAATCATCTGAGTAGTTAATTGTGTTTATACTACGACTGCCATGCACCCTGCATGCCTCGAAGGGAAGGAAAGCGGACTGTGCTAAACAAACACGTCATTAATTAGCGACTGTGATGTGAAGCGTGACAATCAATGGAGAGACAATCAGCTGATCAATATTTTGAGAGTTTATTATCCTGTACACATGTAAATAATTTTGGGAAACTTCAACATGTTCACTAAATTATTAGATATATAACAGGTTTAAAGATGACAATTATGAGCATGATAATAGTCATGCATGCGATTCAGGTTTCTGTGCCAGAAAAAAATACTCTGTAAAAATATGTCATATTCCTCTGAATTTAATCAATTTCCCATGCTCTGCATGTTTTTTAAGCTTTAACTTTATTATATATCCGATCAAATGTGCATTGGGCCTACTTGTCAATCGCCGTCTTAGTTTTAATCGCCGTGTTAGTCTTAGTTTTGGAGTTACTTCCCGTTGTTACGAAACGTCGTATGGCGCTATTTTTAGCACTTCGACAGTGGAGAAGTAAACAAAACTTGGTAAAAAATGCAGTATCTAGAAAAATAAAACGTTTCGCAAAAAAGGGACACTAGTCCAAATGTTCCTTTGTGTGTTAACTTAAAAAATACTACCCATTCATCAGTTTTAGTCATATTGAAACAAAACATTTCATACAACAGGCTGCAATTCTTACATTATTAATTTCTGAAAAAATATTGCCATAGTTACTGACTTACTGTGTCAACAATATTTCTTTTAATTCCTTCAGAAGGTTATATTATAACTACAGTTTTTGACAAATTTTGGTACATTTGTGAAGTAAGAAATTGGATAAATCCTTTTCAATTTAATAATTATTTTTTTTATTTTAAAAAGTGTAGTTATTCCATTGTTTTGTGTTGCAGTGGTTAAGTTTAAAAATTGTAATACCAATCATTGATTTTTAAAGATAAGAAATGTCTAACATGCATGTTAGACACATGTTTTCACCACATTTCGCCTTCGTGCAGCTTCCTCCATGGTTAAATTTTCAAATGTGGAGAACCCTGAGTATCCTCTGGTAGTGTAGATTCAAGTTTATTCAAATCATGACCCCCTGGGGTAGGTTAATGGGGCCACAATGGGGGATCAAATTTTAACAAAGGAATACATATAAAAATTCTTCAAAAATCTTCTTCTCAAGAACAAAAAAGCCATGACTAATCATATTTATTTGGAAGAATCCTTAGGTATGTAAATTCAAATTGTTCAAATCATGACCCCTGGATGTAGGGTGGAGTCACAATGACTGATCAAATTTTTACATAGAAAAATATAGGAAAATTCTTTAAAAATATCAAGATCAACAATGCCTGGTTATTGTTCACATTTATATGGAAGCATCCTCAAGAAATATCGATTCATGTTTGTTAGGAAAGGACCACAAGGGATGAGCAAAGCTTTACATAGGAATATATAGGATTTTTTTTTTTTTTTTTAAATCTTCTCGAGCACAGCAAAACCATGATTGGTCATATTTATATGGATTCATCCTTAGGAAGTGTTAATTTAGATTTGTTCAAATCATGAGGAGGGGATGGTAAAGTTGAGGGGGGCACAATATAAGTTCAAATGTAAAGGGCAATATCTAAGCCACAGGAAGTCAAAAAAATATACAAACATCCTTAGTTGGTGTAGAATCAAGTTTGTTCAAATCAAACCCTCTCCCATTGAAGGATTAAGTTTGGGGCCAATTATTGGTTTAAACTTTATAAAAGCATCCATAGGAAGTATAAATTTAAGTTTGTTCAAATACCCCCCCCCCCCTCCTCACCATAACCCACTTTTATATTTAAACTGATTTTTGATTTTACCTTGCCAGCTGCTCAGGTGTGAGCGATGTGGCCCCTAGGCCTCTTGTTTTAAAACTGATTATTAAAACAAATGTTACCATAGTACATTGTAAACATCATGAAGAAATGATTGAGCTTCAGGTTATGTTAAAAACTCATCAGATTCTGTGTATTTTTTATATATTTGAATATTTTCTTTCCTGGACCCATCCATCCATCTACCTGTATATAAATGGAAGTGACCACCATATATTTTGCCCTCGAAGTCTCAATATCTCGGAAGTTTTTTCTCAGCCCAATCAGGTTGGAGATAACGAAGTTTGACTGTATATATGTGTGATGGTCATGGAAAGAAATAGAAATATGACTGGGATAGCTACTGTAGATCATGTTTCTAAGGTGCAGTTTTGTTTAAACATGTATGTTGTCTCATTTTAGGTGATGATGAAAACATCCCCTTTCATCCAGTAAGTATCTCTAAATTATTCTAAAGGAATAAATTTTATGCACAAATAAAAGATGACGGTGTAGGAATTAAATTTTATTTAATATCATGTTCGAAAACATGATGAGGATCCTGCATAATTTGCATGTGCCTTATAGTACGGTAATCACTCTGTGTCCATATGTCTGTCTGACCTTCCAAAAATTTTCTGTGTTTTTATGCGCCCGAATCGATAGATCCGGGGCATATATTGTTTTTGTCCTGTCTGTTTGTCTGTTTGTCTGTTTATCTGTTTGTCTGTCTGTCTGTTGTCAACTTTAACCTTCGCCAAAACTTTTGAACCATAAGAGATAGAGACTTCATATTTGGTATGCATACTCCACTAATAAAGTTCTTTCAAGCGACATGAAGGTCAATGACCTTTAGACCTTGACTGTGACCTATATGCTCAAAATAGCTTTTTCAACTGTTTGTCATAACTTTTGAACCATAAGAGGTAGAAACTTCATATTTGGTATGCGTACTCTACTAATAAAGTTCTTTCAAATGACATCAAGCTCAATGACCTTGTGACCTTGACTGTGATCTATATGCTAAAAATAACTTTTTACACTTTTTGCCATAACTTTTGAACCATAGGAGATAGGGACTTCATATTTAGTATGCGTACTCCACTAGTAAAGTTCTTTCAAACAACACCAAGGTTAATGACCTTGTGACCTTGACTGTGACCTATATGCTAAAAATAGCTTTTTCCACTTTTTGTCATAACTTTTGAACCATAGGAGATAGGGACTTCATATTTAGTATTCATACTCCACTAATAAAGTTCTTTCAAACAACACCAAGGCCAATGACCTTGTGACCTTGACTGTGACCTATATACTAAAAATAGCTTTTTCAAACTTTGTTGACGCCGGGCGCATAGTGTTTCACAAACACATCTTGTTTTTTTTTAAATTTACTTTTTAAACTCAAATGTATGTTGTTCATGTAGTGGGTTGTTATTCAAGAAAAAAGATTAAAAAAAAAATCAACTTATAATTATATTATTTGTACCAGTATCTTTACTATCTTTTATTGTCCTTTGTCACCAACTATTTAAAAGTGCATAGACTCAGATTTGATGTTGATATTTTCTCAAATTTTCTGTATTATTTTATGACTCATATGTTGCTAAAGCATTTCTTAGGAAAAAATAATAAAAATCTTATTTTTTTCTGGAAGTTATTGAAACTTCGAATTTCTAGATGCATTTGATTGACACATCTTTACACTTTTACAAATTTTAACTTTATCCTTGATAATTAAGAAAAGAAGCAATTTTGTTGTGTATTAATAAATAAAAATAAAATTGAAATCCAGAAAATTCTGAATCAGATTAGAAATGTGAGAAAGCAAAACCATTTAACACATCAGTTTTGTCATCAGTTATTTGTTGTTGTGTATTAATTGATGTGTCTTATGTTTATTTGATAAATAAGTTATTTGATAAATAAGTTCGGTGCAAAATAAAATCATTTTGTTAGACTTGCTGTTTATATAATACAAAAATGAACAGTTTGGGATTGAAGGGGTTTGGACACAGAGTCAAGTATAGTTTCTCGAATTTTCTGTATAATATCATGACTCATATTGCTATAGCATTTAACAGTCAGAAATATATATTAAAAAACTCATTTTATCTGGAAATTAATGAGAATATGAATTTTAGGATGCATTTGATTGACACATCCTTGAAATAAATAGGGGTCTTTCTAGGCCAAAGGGAGTTGTGGTATAAAATCTCCTACTGCAAAAGCTCAAAATCAAGCTTCTCTAGATATGGCACAGAAACAAAAGTGTTAAAACAAACAGATTTCGAATGGTCTTCCTTGAGCCATAGGGAGTTATTGTGTAAAATTTCATTGCAAAAGCTCAAAGGCTAGCTTCTTGAGATATTGTGTGGAAATGAAAGTGATACAGACAGACAAAACTACACAGCTAGACAGAACAGCTAGACAGACAGACCGACCAAAATTAATATCCTCCACTTTCAGCAGGGGACAAAAATATGCAGTTAGTGTCAATGAATGCAATTTAATTCCATGAGACTAAGCTTACTTTTTATTTCATTCAGAAAACAGCAGTTTGGTGTGTATTGCACAAAGACAGATGGATGTTTTTGCCATTCCAGTGCTGCGAGGAGTTAAATGATGCAGCTAAAAAGGGAAAGAAGTCAGTAAAAATTCAGGGTGATGTTACAAGTGATGAACAGTTGTATGAGTATGATTTGGACCGAAAAAAACGGAAATTAATCATGCAGGGTAGTGAACAAAAAAGCGAAGATATCATTTCCATAGAAGGTATCATCTTTCATTTCTGATATTGAGTTTTTGCATTAAAATATAAAAAATTTTAACTTGAAATACTGTAATTTAATATTCATTGAGGGAAAAAAGGTAATTGTGTCACAGTGTTAAAGGCTATCAATATGATATTCTGACACTGTGAGACAATCTTTCTATATATCTCAACAATTTACGTATAGCTATGATAACAATTTCAACTATTAAAAGAGGTGATACAATCTCCTAATGAGAAATGAGTCAGTTTATTTTTAACTACTTGGCAAAAATAACAATGCATGACTGTATTTAGGATTTATCACACTTGGCAATGTCTTCAAAAAAAAAATCTTTTGAAATCTAAATAAAATGTTATCAAGCTAGTGTCAAAGTATCAGCTGACCTCCTGTTTTATTGTTTTGGTTTTTAAAATTGATTTACAATAAATTGTAGCCCCCCAAAAGGAAGGCCTGGTTGATCAAGAAATGGACAAGTCAAAGCTAATGGTAAAAACTTTCAATTAAATATTTAATTTACAATTGCCTGTGTATATACATGTACTTGTGTAATTTTAAAATATGTAACTTAAATTCATTATACATATATATATATATTTGTTGGATATCTTTATTTATTTATTGTTTACTTTATATACATTATGGCAGAAATTTAAAAGGGTTTAGATTATTAAGATGAACAATGATAATATAATCTAAACACTGCATACACAGCAAAGTTAAAGTACCAGGTACATAATATTTTCAATAGATAAAAATATTTACAAAATGTAGCATATTGGGGGCTGCTCTCTTTGTATAAAAGGCATTCTAAATAACCATGGGCAACAGGTTTTTGTTGGTATTCCAGAACTTTGGAAGGAGCGAGCAAGTTCCAGGTTCACCTGGGGGTTTGGGGGGGGGGGGGGGGGAGCAGGAAATCATAGATAGCACTCATTCCACAATGTAAATTACCGGTATGAATATACTCCATTTAACCTGGGTTATGTGTATAATTGAAAAATTCATAGTATGAGAATTTTAATGTGTGAATTAAATGATTTTAGCCTTTGTTAAATAAGTGCAAGCCCCTAATGAAAATAAATGCCAAAATGTTACAGTGTTTAAGTAATAAACATAGATATAGGTACACAATGGAACTGGTAAAACCATTGTACAAACTAAGATTTCATTCCATAACACATTTTCTCTTGTGCTTCATCAGCAATCTTTTATTGGGTCACCTGAGTATCTTTTTTTGTCCGTTGTGCGGTGTTCGTCGTGTACGTGTTGAACATTTCAGCTTCTTCTCAGCAACTGTTCAACTAATTTCAACCAATTTTAGCACAAAGCATCTTTGGGTGTAGGGGAACAAAAATATTGAATTTTATAGTAAAATGCATGAATTCTTTGAAAATCTTCTCTGCTCCTGGGTATTAATCAAACAAACTTATTGTGTAGTTATGATGAGGAAGGGTGTCTTTTCCATAATTGTGAGGGTGAGGGGTTCTGTTGTAAGGGTGAGGCTCTACAGATTATACAGTGAAAATGTGTGAATTCTTTGATAATCTTCTTCTCTGCTCCTGAGTATTAAACAAACTTACTACAATCATGCATATTAATGGTGAGCAAGAGTGCCTCTTTGAAAATTGTGAACTTCATCAGGCCCCAGGGTCAGGGGTTCTGGTGTTAAGGTGGGGCACTATTGATAAGATAGTGGACTGTAATGTTCATTAATTCTTTGAAAACATTCTACTCTGCTCCCTATATATCTATGATGAGCAATGGTTCTTCTTGCAGAATTGAGAATTTCAAAGCCCCTGGGTCAGGGATACAGTTTGAAGTTCTGGTGTTAGGATTAGCCTCTCATTATACTTTAAATGAATTAATGCATAATTGAAATCTTCTCCTTGGTATTAATCAAATATTTATGATGAGGGAGGGTGCCTTTTCCAAAACTGTGAAATGTGTAGCTCTAGGGTCAGGAGTTCTTGCTGGTTTGGGGCACTGATTATTACTGAATATTACTGATTAGTTGAAATACAATTTTTTAGCTCACCTGAGCCGAAGGCTCAAGTGAGCTTTTCTGGTCTTGTTTTGTCCGTTGTCCGTCCATTCGTCTGTCTGTAAACTTTTCACATTTTTGACTTCTTCTCAAGAACCACTAGGCCAATTTTAACCAAATTTGGTACAAACCATTCTTGGGTAAAGGGAAGTTTTTAGCTTACCTGTGCTTTTCTGATCAAAATTTGTCCATCCTCTGTTGTTGTTGTTGTGGTAAACTTTTTACATTTTCATCTTCTTCACAAGAACCACTGGGCCAACTTCAACCAAACTTAATTGCCACAAAGTATCCTTAGGTGAAGGGGATCCAAGTTTTTAGCTCTACTGGTCAGAGACCAGAAGAGCTTATGCGATAGTAATGCGTCCGGCGTCCGTCCGTCTGTCTGTCTGTCCGTCTGTAAACAATTTTTCAAAATGCTACTCCTCCTACAATTTTAGTTTGATTTCAGTATAACTTGGCACACAAGTAGACTACACTAAGATACATAGAATAGTGCATCGGTTTTTGATTTCGATGAACGGTGTTGCCATGGTTACTAAAAATAGAATTTTCTGTGAAATTCCTTAAAAACGGTACTCCTTCTACAGTTTTTGTCTGATTTCAATATAACTTGGCACACAAGTAAACTACACTAAGATACATAGAATAGTGCATCGGTTTTTGATTTTGATGAACGGTGTTGCCATGGTTACTAAAAATAGAATTTTCTGTGAAATTCCTTTTAAACGCTACTCCTTCTACAGTTTTTGTCTGATTTCAGTATAACTTGGCACACAAGTAGACTACACTAAGATACATAGAATAGTGCATCGGTTTTTGATTTCGATGAACGGTGTTGCTATGGTTACTCAAAATAGAATTTTCTGTAAAATTCCTTAAAAACACTACTCCTTCTACAGTTTTTGTCTGATTTCAATATAACTTGGTACACAGGTAGACTACACTTAGATACATAGAATAGTCCATCGGTTTTTGATTTCGATGAACGGTGTTGCCATGGTTACTAAAAATAGAATTTTCTGTGAAATTCTTTTAAAACGCTACTCCTTCTACAGTTTTGGTCTGATTTCAATATAACTTGGCACACAAGTAGACTACACTAAGATACATAGAATAGTGCATCGGTTTTTGATTTCGATGAACGGTGTTGCCATGGTTACTAAAAATAGAATTTTCTGTGAAATTCCTTAAAAACGCTACTCCTTCTACAGTTTTTGTCTGATTTCAATATAACTTGGCAGACAAGTAGACTACACTAAGATACATAGAATAGTGCATCGGTTTTTGATTTTGATGAACGGTGTTGCCATGGTTACTAAAAATAGAATTTTCTGTAAAATTCCTTAAAAACGCTACTCCTTCTACAGTTTTTGTCTGATTTCAGTATAACTTGGTACACAAGTAGACTACACTAAGATACATAGAATAGTGCATCGTTTTTGATTTAGATGAACAGTGTTGCCATGGTTACTAAAAATAGAATTTTCTGTGAAATTCCTTTAAAACGCTACTCCTTCTACAGTTTTGGTCTGATTTCAATATAACTTGGCACACAAGTAGACTACACTAAGATACATAGAATAGTGCATCGGTTTTTGATTTCGATGAACGGTATTGCTATGGTTACTCAAAATAGAATTTTCTGTGGAATTCTTTAAAAACGCTACTCCTTCTACAGTTTTTGTCTGATTTCAAAATAAGTTGGCACACAAGTAGACTACACAAAGATACATAAAATAGTGCAATGGTTTTTGATAAGTACAAACCAGTAGAGCTACAGTCTCGACAGAGACTTCTGGTTTTTCAAATGAAGGGCCACACCCTTATTCAAGGGGAGATAATTCAGAAATAGGGAACATTTGTTCAAATGTTGACCCCCGTGGGTAGGGCACGGCCACAATGGCCAATCAAAGTTTTACATAGAAATATATAGGAAAATTCTTTAAAAATCTTCTTCTCGAGAACCACTGTGCCAGGATAGATGAAATTTATATGGAAGTATCCTCAGGTAGAGTAGATTCAGGTTTGTTCAAATCATGACCCCTCGGGGGTAGGGCGGGGCCACAATGGCCGATCAATTTTTACATAGAAATACTGTATACAGGGAAATTTTTGCCTTCGTTTTATTTTTGCCCCTTTCGCCCTACTTACATATGGGTGAATTTAAAACGGGGCGAATTTAAGGTAGGATTCTTCTCTGGTTTCAGACTAGATGAAACACTCAAAGTATATTTCCTTATATGTCTTATAAATTGAGGTGTAAGGAATTTAAAAGACCATATTTTTCTTTCCTCATCACAATTGTACAACTTTAAATAGAAATGGTAAACTGCCTTTGAAAACTTGCAGGGACTATATTTTTGGCGGAATGGTGGCGTATGAAAATATCTTCTTTTCTGCCTCTCAAAATTATAATAGAACAATGAATTTAGTTATAATTTTTACACAATCGAAGACTTGGAGAAATTTTCAAATGTAAGTTAAATTAATAATGAGGGACTAAACTTTCAAAATATATCAAATAAATATGATTTTTCAAACAAACAAGAACTTTGTTAGCTTTTAAATGCTTCCTATCAAAGTGCAGATTTGAGCCAAAAATCCATAAAAAGTATTTTTTCTCTCTTAGTAAACGATCAAAACTTTTTGTTTTTGTATCATTTTGTACATTTATAAGACTACTTTATTATATGTGAAAATAAGAAAAAGTTAAATATAGGAAGCATATGAAAATAACTAATATATCCTAAAAAATTAAGAAAAACAGAGAAAATTCGGATTAGCCAATATCCAGTTTAGTTAAATTATTTATGTAAATTTGGTAATATCATGCTAAAGACCCGATATAGTAATATGTTTTTATGCAAAAAGAACAATCATTAAACTTTTGAAATAGAAGTAGGTATCACTTGATTGGCAAGTTATTTTTATGGTGTCGAGCTTTAGCTTGGCGTACATATAGCTAAGAGGAAATCTCTGACTGTTCACCGCTTTCTTTATGCGCCAAATAATATAGTACTCGAACCAAGACCGTCATGTATCTGGCGTAGGAATATACTTGGCAATTTTTGCGTTTATTCGATACATTGCTTGAAAATCATACAATTTCAACAATCCTATATGTAGTTGACAACTCACCCACTTTCGTCGGGTTACTTTTCGACCCTTAACCTGATTATTTTTTATGACACGGCGGGACTTGCTTATCGCTATAATCCCCGATTTCCGGATTTGGTTCGTAAATTAGGTTATACTTGTAACTTCCAGTTACAACCCAAGCTTGCTCTACGTAAACAATGCCGATGCCTATGTTCAGTTGGCCAGTAAATTATCAATGCTAGTGTAAACAATTAACTGGGATTGTTTTGAAAAATCAAAATTTAAAATGGCTTTCATTTGTTATCAGGACCGGCAAGCAGTAAATCTACTCCTCTCAACTCCCGAC